GACAAGACAGAAGCCCCTTGTCCTGCAGGCTCCCTTCGTGGGGCTGGCCCAGGCCGGGGCTGAGGAACAGTTCCAGACTTTCAGCTTTGCCCGCTCCTCCGCATCTTACCTTTGTCCCGAGGCTCCCGAATAGCGCAAGGAGATGAATCTGGAGCAGAATTTTCCACGGAAAAAGTCAGCGACTGAAACTGGAGCGGCCAGCCCGGCCTCTCTGTGCTCAGGGCCACTCACAACCTCCCTGCTAGCTCTCCCGGGGCACCTGGTGGGCAGCTGCGGGCCGAGAAGCCACCCGGGGTTATCTCGCTGCTTGGGGGTGAGAGCCAGGCCCACCCTGAGGGCGGCTTGCTGAGATGCCCACAGCACGCCCTCGCTCCCAAACTGCCGATTATTCCAGGACGCAGCCTGCACTCGCCCTCCTCCCCTGCTGCTCCTTGCCCCTCCTCCACTCCTCCCTGCTCCCCCACTCCTCTCCCTCCCCCTGTCCCCTTTCCCCTCCCCACCATCCTTCTACCCTCCTTGCCACTCCTCCAGATCACCAGTTTCAAGTCACCATGTATTTTTGCCCCTTTCCACTCTGGCGGATTCCCTAAGGAGGATTCCCGTAACTGCAGCCCCCGCCTAACCCTCCAGGTGGAAGAAACAGTGTGGCCAAGGCTAGGGGTGTGGCTGGCAGGGCCAGGCCTTCTCAGGGAGGGCAGTGGTCAGACTCACTGCGAACGTGTGGGCTGTAGGGGAGGGAAGGGGCAGGGTGGCTGAGACCTCAAACTCCAGCAGCAGAAGCTGTCCATCAACCCAGAACTGAATTCATGAGTGACCTTGGAGGATTTTAAGCAGGAGAAAGATTTAAAGCTGTGTTTCAAGACGAAAAAGTGGGCATTGTTTCCCGCTCTAGGCTCTGGTGCTTGGTATGCCCCTGCTATGGGGCACCACGCTGCCTCTGCCTGAGTTCTGGAATCAGAGACCAGGCTCTGAGCCTGGCTGTGCAGCCTCAGGCACATCCCCTCGCCTCTCGGAGCTGCAGTCTGCACAGCTACAACGTGGGGATGTGAAGTGAGAGGATTGAGACCCAGGAGAGGCCCGCGGGGTCTGCGGCTGGTGTTCAGAATGGGTGTTTTTAATTTTGTGAGTGGATAAACCCCCACACTCTAAGGGAGACAATTTCAAATTGACTTCTGAATTAGCCATTTCTCAGTATTTATGTTCCTGGCACAAAATACTGTGTGGCTGTCTTCTCTGATGCCTTTACTTCACCTTTGGCCCGCACACTGGCTGCCGGGGGCTGGCTGGGGGCTCCCGTGCCCCCTGCTCCATCAGCTCCACATGTCCTGGGAAGCATACAAGCAGGATTAGCTGGGCAAGGCCCTTCTTGTCCCCAGCTACCTATCCCACTGATGTCCAAGGCGCAGAAGTCCTGTGTATAGATAGACTTTTTAAAAATTGTGTTTAAAATACACATAAAATTTGCCACTTTAACCATTTGAAAGTGTGTCACTCAGAGGGGTATAAGCGCATTCCCGATCACCTCAGTTGGGCTCCATAACTTTGTCATCACACCTGCCAAGCCGGCGCTCCCGGTGCCTCCTCCCTGCAGCCCCAGGCGACCACGGGTCCACTTTCTGTCCTTTGCCGGACACTTCATGCAAATGCAATCATCCAATGTGTAGTCTGTGTGTCTGTGTACTCAGCGTACTAGTTTTGAGGTCCCTCCATGGAGCATGGGTCCATACTTCATTCCCGCTTATGACCAAGTAGCATTCCGTAGTATGGATAGGCCACAGTCTGTCTGCCCCTTCAGCCCCTGGTGGACGTCCGGGGTCTTTGCTCCTTCTGGCTCTTGTGGGCAGTCTTTGTTTGAATACCTGTCTTCAGTTCTGGGCATAGACCAAGGAGTGGAATTGCTGGGACCCATGGTTATTCTATGTTTCACTTTTTGAGGAACTTCCTGACTGTCATCCACGGTGGCTGCCCGCATTCCTGTTGGCGATGCACGGGGGCTCCGATTTCCGCACAGCCTGCCAACACCTGGCGCTTTCTCTTGTTTTGACCAGGGGCATCTTAGTGGGTGTGAGGTGGCGCCTCACTGGTTTTGATTTGCATTTCCCTCATGAGTGAATTTAGGATCTTTTCACTTGCTTGTTGGCCATTTACGGCTCTTTGGAGAAATACCTATTCAAGTCCTTTGACCATGTTTAAATTGATTATCTTTTTGTTATTAAGAGGCAGGAGCTCTTTCAGACATTATCTGAGTATTTACTCATTTGTTCAATAATTCCACGAACAGTCATGGGCAGCTACAGGGGGCAGCCCTGGGAACCCCAGATTTAGCTGGGACCTGGCCCTGCCCTCAGGTGCTTGTGGTCTGCTGGGAAGGCTGTGGAAAGGGCCACAGTGAGAGCCCAGGGGTGAGGGTGGTACTCGAGAGACAGGTGCCCACCGTGTGCTTCCTCCGTGCCTGGGGGCCAAGGGGTTTGAGCTCAGGGGACTTGCACTGGGCACAAGTCAGGTAGAGTTTGCCGGACAGAAAAAGGGAGAACGGATGGCATCCCAGGCAGAGGGACCAGCACAAGCAAAGGTGGCAGGGTGGTCGGAGGCCAGATCCCGGGAGGCCTCTGATTCTACACCAAGGAGCCTGGGGAGCTATGGATGGGCTTTGAGCAGGGGAGTGACATGGTCAGACCTGGGCGCTGGCGGGGGCTGGGAGTCTGCCTGGAGGCAGGAGACCAGGACTGCAATGATCTGTTTCGGCCCCTGGGGTCCATCCTCAGTCCACTGGGTCCCCCCCATTCAGAACCCATTTGTCCAAGCTCCTACCCCCAACAGGGTTCTTACCCCAAGCAGTGGGCGGGGGGGGGGCTCTGCAGCCTAGAGCCTGCTGGAAGAGTTTGGGAACGGGGAGCTTGCTTTTAGCATCCGGGATCCAAAGTGGGCTCTGTCCCGAGGCCTGGAGGCTGGTTCCCATCCATCTCAGTTCCCCGGGTCGGTTTTCTGAGCATCTACAATTACTTTGGGCTGAATTCCCCAGATTCCAGCCCGCTCCCAGCCCAGCCCGCCCAGAGGCTCTTCTTCCATGCCAGCCTTGGGCATTTCTGCCCATTGTGCCCGTGGGAGACCCAGGGGGGTCTTGGCCAGATTAGTGAGTGGGGCGGGCAGGCCACGGGGATTGAGTGTCGCCGGGGGGCCCGGCTTGCAGCACGTGCTGTGGGCTCGCGCCACACGGGGACTTTCCCAGCTGGCTGTGGGTGCTTGGCTGCCCTGGAAAAACACTGACTTGTTCCTCTCAAGAAAGGGGCTGGCGGCCAGTGGGCAGGAGCAGAGAACTCAGGGCACTGGGAGGCCAGGGCCGTGGACGTCAGCTTGGGGAGCCCCTGGTGGTCTCCCTCATCCCCACACTTTGTCCCTCACTAAGCCAGTCTGGTCTCTGGTTTGGAAGCCAGATGCCACTCTGAAACTCGGCTGTTGCCCATAGGTCTGCCCAAACCAGCCCCCACCTCCTTCCCTACTTGCTGTCCACTCCCTCCTCTGGGTGCTCAAAACCAAATAACTCGTGCCCCTTCTGTGGAAAATAGTTTGGTGGTTCCTCAAAAAGCTAAACAAACGGCCACATGACCCAGCAATTCCACTCCTAGGAATATGCCCCCCAAGATTGAAAACAGGGACTCAAACAAAACCTTATACGCCCGTGTTTGTAACCGATCTGTTCACAAGTGCCCAGAGGTGGCGGCAGCCCAATGTCCGCTAACTGGTGAGTGGATACACGGAAGGTGGTCCCTGCACGTGATGGAATATTACTCAGCCACAGAAGGGACGGAAGCACGGACACCTGCCACAATGTGGCCGAACCTGGGAAACATGATGCGAAGTGAGAGCAGCCAGACACGGAAGGGCACATATTATGTGACTGCATCTCTATGGAAAGTCTAGAATCACAGATTCCTGGTTGCAGGGCCTGGAGGAGGGGAGAGAATTGGGAGTGCCTGCTGAGGGGCATGGGGTTTCATTTTGGGGGTGGTGAAAATATCTTGGAACATGACTAAGTGCTGCAGACCTGTACCCTTCAAAATGGTTACCTGTACGGTAGGTCCCCTCAGAAAATAAACAGGCCGGTAACACCTCAAGTGAGCAGAGTGAGCCTGGCAAGTGCCCTCCGGTCTTGGGAGGGCGCCAGATTAATTACACTGCGCCCCCAGGGGACCACTCTGAGGATACAGTGTTGCAAAGAGGACCCTGCCCAGCCCAGCACACAGTAGATGCTCAATTCACATCAGCTCCTGATTCCTCCCCGAGTCTACCCAGTCGTCCAGAAACGAGTGCATGACAACTGCAGTTGCCTCATGGGTGCAGCCTTTCTCCTTGTGGTTGTCTGGTCTGAGCCTATGTGGTGGAAGTGGTGATGGGGGGGGGCATCAGATGTTTTATACTCCCATTTCGTGGATGTGAATACTGAGGCTCAGAGAGGCAGAGCACCTTCCCAAGATTACAGACGGGCTGCACGTGGAGTCAGGACCCTGTGGGCTTGACTCTCAGCAGGGCCAGCCAGCTCAGCAGCCTTCCCGGCCCAGGAGCTACAAGTGTTGGGGAAGCCCAGTGGTCAGGAGTTGGGGGTGCTCTCGGGGGTAGCTGCAGACAGTTTGGAGCTGACGGTTGTCGAATCCCAGGCGTGAGGTTCTCTGACCCGAAGGGTCTGTGTGTCTGATTCAGAGGCACGGGGAGCTGGGGTTCTTGCGTTCCGTGGGACTGTTGACTCCCGGGACCTGTGACCCGTGGCTCTGGCCGTGCTGAGGCTGAGAAGGCATGGGCGTGAGTGCCTTTTCGGGCTGGGATCATGCGTTTTGGTCCATGGGAAATGGATTCTCTAGGGAATCTCTAGGAAGAACTTGGCACATGGCGGGCGCCCGGAGCCCCCTGGCTGACCGAGAGCCTGAGCGAGGCAGGACGGCAGGCGGAGGGCGAGGGGCCCTGAGCCGCCACTCACCTGCCCGTGTCCTCTCCCCTCTCCGCAGAGCACTGTCGTCCGTCGTGGCCCTGGGAGCCAACATCATCTGCAACAAGATTCCCGGCTTGGCCCCGCGGCAGCGCGCCATCTGCCAGAGCCGGCCCGATGCCATCATCGTGATCGGGGAGGGGGCGCAGATGGGCATCAATGAGTGCCAGTACCAGTTCCGCTTCGGACGCTGGAACTGCTCCGCCCTTGGCGAGAAGACCGTCTTCGGGCAAGAGCTCCGAGTAGGTAAGGGCGCCTCCGGGCTTGCAGGGACCCAGCCACGGTCGGTCGGGGCTCCAGGGGCCAGGCCACTCCCCCCTCCCCACGGAAGGCTGCATGGGGCTGCGCACGCTCCCCGGGCCACCCCAGCCCCAGTGTCTCTGCTAGAGCAGCTTGCCCTGCGCCCTTCTCCGAGCCTGGCCTGGAGGGGGCCCAGCACCCCAGGGAGACCCAACCATGTGAGTGGCTGAGGGGTGTCTCGCCGGGCCGTAGGGCTGGAGGACGGCGCTCCGGCGAGGCTGTGAGCCCACGGGCGGGCAGCGCCACGCAGCGGTTAGAGACGCGCCCTGCTTGATGGCCGTGCGGAACTAGGCATGCCTCTTCGTCTCTCCCTGCCTCCGTTCTGTATCTGGAAATGGGATAAGAGCAGGACTTCCTGCATGGGGTTTTGGGGTGGGGGTGGGGGCTGGAGGCGAATGGTGCCATTTATGTGGAAGGCATTCCAGGCAGAGGGAGAGTGCAAGCAGAGACGCGTGGGATGCTGTGCACACATGTGTGGGAGCGCCGAGGAGTCTGACGGGCTGGAGGGCAGGGCAGGGGGGCGGGGGGGTGCAGGTGGAGTCGGGCTGGGGAAGGCGGTGGGCCTCCAGTGCTACGGGCAGTGGCAGCAGCTGAGGGATGCCAAGCAGGGGTGGCCAGGTCTCTGCCGGCTGTGTCCCACTGCACCATACACCGTCCTCAGGTCACATGCTCCATCTCCGTGTCCTCACACAGCCCCGAGGGAGGCTCCGTGGTGCCCATTTTACAGGGAAGGAGACTGAGGCCCGGTTGGGGGGAGCTTACAGGGAAAAGTGGGACTTCCAGAGCCCGACCTTGATTGGAATCCAGCCGCGTGACCCTGGGCATGGCACTTCGGGCCGCTCAGGGCCTCAGTGTCCTCAGTTGTAACATGAGCTCTGAGCGAGCGGGTCCTCATCTGGGTCCCTAGTGCTTCTCCCAGGCCAGCACGCAGTAGGTACGCATAAACTGCTGTTGAACTGGTGAGGGTGGGGAGGTGATGCAACCTGCCCTTCCAGGAGGGTCAGATGGGGGCGTGATAACTTGGGGGCACCGTGCCAGGCATGCAGGGGGTGCCCTGTTATTTCAGACCCCAGCCTGTAGGCACAACACATCCTTCCGATCCCAGCGGGCCAAGGAGCCACAGCTGCCGGGACCCAGGCCAGAGCCAAGCTCTGCGGGGCTTGGAACGCCTGGCATAGGGCTGGGGGTGGCGCAGGGGAAAGCCCCCGGGGCCCCTCTGCGGTGAGCAGCCTGTGGGTGGCACCTGGCACAGGTGGGAGGGTGGCACCACCCCCTCCCTGGGGCCCCACCACCCAAGTGCAGCTCCCTCCCTGCAGGTGCCAGCTGGGGAGGGCGGGGCTGCCTGCCCCATCCTCCGCAGGTGGGGGGGTGTCGGCGCCGGTGCTTGCTTGGTGCCTGCTCGCTGCCAGGGGTCCGCTTGCCTCCCCGGCCCCTCACCCCTGAGACTCTGGGCTCTGAGGCCGCTGTGAGCACCCCCAGGACGCAGCTGAGTGGTGAGGTCGCCTGCGGCCACAAGGTTTGCCCATGACGGAGCTGGGTTCAGATCCAGGTCCCCACCTGCCACCTGGCCTGTTCACCTTGCTTCTTCACTGTGTGGAGAGACGGGCAGTGGACATGGCCCCATGGCTTGCAGAGGGGTGGGGGCTCGGACTTTATTCGGGACCATGAGACACAGGGAGTGAGGGAGACGCAGCCACTCAGAGCCCCTTCTCATGGTCAGGTCCTAGGTGGGGCGGGGGGGGCTTCACCGGTGGTCCACAATAAATGCCAATAAAAAGCCCAAGAGGAGTGGCTTTGGCCCCAGCCCATGACCCGCGCCGTCCCCCCGTAGTGGACACCACCAGTGCCCACCCAGATTACCTTTACTGGCCGTCACATATCGCCTGGATCACGGCTAACAGCTCACAGCTGTTCCTCCTTGGCGACTAGCCCTCGGCCCAGGAGGAGCCTGGGAGGGTCTGCAAGCTTGGCCCGGAGGGAGGGTCAGCTACAGCCATGCACGGACTGGTGCAGAGGGTGTGAACTCTGCGCTTGTGGGTGGGGGTGCTCTGCAGGGCTCTTCCTGCCCTGAGCTCCCCTTGGGAAGAGGCGTCTCAGGCTCTGCTTCTAGGGAGCCCACCGAAGGCACCTCCCCTCCCTCCCATGAGCATTTCAGAGGCAAACGTTCTGGCAGAGCTGTCTACACCCGAGACGCCCCCATCCCGCACCGTCTTGTTCCTGCCGCCCCTGTCCAGGCCGTTAATGACCTTCATGTTGGCTGACTGATGCCCCCCTTCCTTGCCAGGGCCCCAGCTCACCTGGCTTCCTCTTGTCTCTCTGGCTGGGTCTCCTGAGCCCTGAGCCCTGCCCCAATCTGTTCTCCCCTGGGACCAAGACCAGTGTGGCCGCTCCCTGGGAACCTCTGGCTCAACATGCTCAGCATCTTGTTGCTGAAATCTGCTGTTCTTGGCCTTCCCCCTGACCTGAGTTCCTGTCGTCTCAGCAGAAACCCGGTGTTTCCCTGTCCATCCCTCCACCCTGCCCCACAGCCCCTGCAGGGCCTGCCTCTCTGGGTCTCCCCTGGCAGCTGTCAGTGCCTCCCCCTGCCTCCCCTCCAGCCCTGGTCATGCCATGTCACTCCCTTCCTCCAAGACCTGCAGTAGCTCCCTATTGCTCCAGGATAAAGTGAACTCTTTAGCTTGGAGTCTGGGTAATCCCTGTCATACATCACCCCCACCTCTCTTGGCTTCACCCTGGCTGACTTCTTCCTCTTCCCAGAGCATGCCAACCCTTTCCTCCTCTGGGACTTTGCCCCCACTACCTGTAACCCTGGGAGGCCCTCCCCCTCCGCTCTGCTTATTCACATCTGATTTCTCTGGAGAAGGAAATCTCGCCCCTCCCTGGCTCTTCCTGTCCACAGCCAGGCCAGACACATCCTGGAGCTTCATCCTGAGTCTCTCAGCCCCGGGCCAGCTCAGCACCTGCCTCAGCGCTCCCTTCACTCTGCCCCGGGGGTGGGAGGGGCCGGCTCCCTACCACCTGGGCTGAGGCCTCTTGCCCTGCTCGAAGCCCTCCTTGGCTCCAGGCTGGCCCCTGTGAAGGAAGGCCCAGCTCCCACTTCAGCCAGGAGGGCTCTGGCTTGCGGGGTCCTGTGGGCACCGTGATGGTGGTCTGAGCAGGCCCCTGCTCCTCCCAGAACTCAGGGGCTGGGAGTCACGAGCAGGAAGTGGGGCCGAGTGGCAGAGCCAGCCCATGTCAGAGGCATGCGGCTGCCCCGGGCACGAGATGGGAGACGGGCCATGAGCTGGCAGGCAGCCGGGGGACTCGTGGGAGCAGCCACTCAAGCGGTGCCAATTAATGATTGGCCCCAAGTGGGGGGATGGCCTGGGTCGGAAGGACGGCCCCCTTCAGGCCTTGCCTGTGACCTTGGGCTGTGCCTAGATCTTGAGAGCTGAAGGGAAACCCCTCAATGGGCAAATGAACCCCTGTGCAAGGTTCCAATCCCTTTTCCAGCACCTGGTGCTGTTGCTTGTATACCTCCTGGGACGGGGAGCTCACCACTCCACATGAGCTAGATCTTTCTAATGATGCTGCTGCCCTGGCTTTGCCCTGAGGCCCCCCAGGTACCAGTTGCTCTGCTCCCTTCAGGGAGTCAAGACCCACTCATGGTGTCACCTCCTGTCTGGCGGCCCCCACCCTCTGGCAACCTGAGCCCACCCCAGGCCTATTTCCCCATTTAGCGAGAGATGCTTATGGCCAGGCCCCTCTTGACCCATCTCTTCTGTTAGGGGGCAATGAGCTTGGGGAGGGGGGGTGAATGTGTCCTCAACTCTTCTGTCCTGGGGTAGGGGGGAATGACACGAGAGCTGGGGGGTGAACTTGTCTTCCAGGGATGCTTGTTAGAAACTTGGGCCCCCAGTGACCCAGAGCAAGACAGAGCATTTCTTACAGGCACAGTAATTGGGTTGGGACTGTTGTCAGGGGCTTCCCTGACAGGGTGACCTATGAGATGAGACCCAAGTGAGAATTCGGGTGACCCAGACCAGCCTGGGGTGAGCACAGGGAAGGGGGTTCCAGGCAGAGGGAACAGCAATGCCAAGGCTCAGAGGCCAGAAAGTGGATGGTATTTTCCAGGGACAGTAAGAGGGTGAACCAGAAGGCTGGAAGATCAGAGCCCAGAAGAGGGGGCAGAGCTGGGGCACAGGGACCCCGAGGGCCCCACAGAAAGCAGGGAGGGTTCTGAGCAGGAGAGGGACTTCCCTCAAACACTGGCACCCTCCAGCCACGGCCTCACCCCTCGCCCGAGCCCCGAGCCCCGTGGGACCCACTGGCAGGGGGCACGGGGACTGCAGCTCTGTGCACTCCTGCCCCCACCCCCACCCCGCTGCCAAGCAACACTGAGTCCCGCCCATCATGTGCAGCCCCAGACATGACCAGGCATAGGGGCAGCCCCTAATCCTGGCTCACGTGGCTGCCTGGGGCTGGCGGCTGGGTCTGCAGTAGGGGCTTAGCAAAGGCCGTTGGTTCCTGGACAATCCGAGGGGGCAGAGTGACTTACCTCTGACTGTCTGAGGGATGAGAGTCTCGAGGCTTCCAAAGTAGCCACTGGCGAATCCTTGGAGGAGGGGGCTGACTGTGTGCCCGGGCGCCTTGCCTGGGGTTTTGCCGGCCGGGCCCAGGGGAGGTGTGACATTGGTTCCCGGGAGGGACGAGGGCTCCAGGGCCATGGCTGGCTGGTGCAAACGGACAAATGCCCTAAGTGTCAGGTACACAACAGATTTTGAGGACTTCCAAAGGAAAAGAGCAAGTAAAATACCTCTACCGATCTTTACAACGAGCCCATGTTGACGTGGTAATGTTTGGGTATATTGGCTAAATAAATGATGTTACCAAAATGAAGTCCACCTGCTTATCCTCCCGTTCCTTAAATGGCATATGTGGCTCACGTGAGACTTCTGCTGGGTGGC